GCCCTTAAATCAGAATGATAAATATAAATCCGGACGCTATGTACCCAATTAATCTGGAAATCATTAATCGATGGAAAAATCCGTTTACCTGAAATACAGAGATTGAAAGTATTCGCTCCCAATTCAAAGAAGATCAACATGTTAAAAGCGACTTCGAAGTCATCAGCGAGTTGGAGAAGTGAATAATGTCTCCTAGCAAATTTGGATACTTTAATTTTCTGTTCGAACACCGGCTCTCCGCCATCGAATTCCCCCAAACTCCTGTTGAGCACTTGAAACTGCCCACAGAGATGCATAGCAAGTCCAAATGCAAAGACATCAACACCGAGAAACATATTAGCCAGAAGGAATAATTGTACGCAGATTAACGAGTAATAACCCAAATAAGTAGTAAAAGATATATCCGAAGGTAGCCAGCACTTGGGTCCAACAGGTACACTTCTCACAATGATAGTATCATTATTGGAGTCGTAGGTTTCGAAAGAACTAGGAAAATGCATGAGAATCATGGGAACAACTGCTAGATAAGCTCCAATCATCTGCACAATGCACACGATTCGTCCCACGTAAGCATGATGAATCATGATACGAACATCCTTTTGATTTTCAGTATCTACCCAGTCTTGGACAGCGGAATGGAAAATCGAGGTGATTTTTGTCTGGTGCCGTCGAGACAGAATAATCTTTATGAGATTCATCAAGCTCAGGGTAAACAGAGCAAATGCGTCGACCATCTCAGTGATGCTGCCACAGTTACCCTTGATGATCCAGTCTTTGATGATGACAATCAACGTTACAATCTAGATCATCAATTAAATTTTGGTATAGGATTCGCAAAACTATTGGTATGAACCCCATGGAGTCATTTATTAATCAATGTGTCTGATAATAAATAATTTGAAACTTACGTGCATTATTGTTACGATTGAAACCCGCAGTGTTTTTCGATTGTCCAATGGCCAAAGACCTGCATTTTCTGCCACATATTTGTACAAGCTCAATGCATACACTGTATTTTTATTCCATCCTGTTGGTTCCGTCATCAATTCACCCAAGACTTATTCTGAAATTTTTCATAAAATGTCTCTGGATGTAGGATATCAATAATTCCCGTGATCTCAAAAATTCATGAGGTGGAGAAGAATATATTTCTCGTCGCAGCTACAAAATTAATTATTGATTATAGGATGGGGTGGAAAATACCTGGGAATGCATAGGATTCGATCAATATTATTAATATTGCAGATGCAGTTGTACTCCAGCACGAAATGGAAAGGAAATTTCAGGAAAATAGAAGAATGTCAGAACAATGTGAAACAACGTAGAGATAACATGTCTAGGTCTCATTCTTCGTCTGTCTCTTCATTTTTCGCGGGGAGGAATTTGACAATCTCATTGGTCTGTTGTAGATGTGTGAAAATATATTTTTTTGTTATGATACACATTGTTTATTGCAGATTGCTGTTGTTAATCCTTGATCATCAGTCGGAGGATTGAGAAATACGAGAACATGGATTTGACGATAAATTTGAAATTCTGGTAGTCCATATTCCAGATTTTACCAGCGGTTAAATGGAACAAGTGATTGTTGCGCATCATAATGAATTTTAGATCTCTTACAATAATTGGTGGCAACTTGTACCAACGACTGCTGTAAATAGACACTTGTAATTTCTCCGCTTGTCTTGACAGATGCTCGCCTATGTAACTGTACATGAATATTTGGATGTACATTAGGTAAATTCGGATGGCCATCGCTGATATGATCTGAGTGTCTCCTATTTTAATGGCGCGGAGCAAAATTATTTCTGGAGATAAAAACATGGAATTATTGGCAAGAAATTTAGATTTTTTCGTACGAACTCTCACATTCACATAAAAGATCAAATAATAATGGACTTAAGTTGTTCATTCAAACTTTTTACAATATCCAAATTGAAACTTAGATAAAGTGTAGTGGAAAATTACCTAACGTTCGAATGGAAATGACAAAAAAACGACTGTTTAAAAAACTGGTAATTGCAAATTAATGAATGAGTTGATTATATAATTGATTTTAAAGCGAAAATTCTCAGCGTGCAGTGAATTGAAGAGGAATTCGGCTGGCTTGTGACAGTATTTATAATGTCGATGGAATGAAAATATTCACCTGAAATGGAGATGATAAATGCATTAGCCCCCAGTTCAAACAAGATCAACAGACTGAATGCAGTTTCAAAGTCATCGGCTAGATTGAGAAGTGAATTATGTCTTTTGGCGAATTGCGAGACGATTTTCCGCTGAATAACTGATGTCTCGTTGCCATCGAATTTCTCGAAACTTCTGTACAGTAATTCAAATTGTCCACAGAGATGCATGGCAAGACCGAAAGCGAAGACATCACCACCGAGATACGAAGTCGCCAGAATAAATAAATGAACGCAGACAAAAATGTAATAAAGGGAGTAAGTGAAGGTGGAGATCTCCAGGGAGACCCAGCATCTGGGACCTATCGGTATGTTCCTCAGGAATAGACTCCTGTTATCAGCATCTATCAACTCCACAGATCTGGGGAGTCGCGTCAGGATGAGGGGAATTATCGTCATGTAGGCCCCAGACATCTGCACGATGAAAACCACTCGACCTATGAAGGCGTACCTCAGCATCACCTCCTGGCATTTTTTACTGTTAACCTGAGACCAGTCTTGCACTACGGAAATAACGAGGGAAGCAACTCGTCTTCGGTGGCTCCAGGGCAAGAGAATCTTCAGGACTGCCATCAAACTTGTTGTCATGAGACTTATCGCGTCTACTAATTCGGTTATTGTACCGCAATTTCCTTTTGTCATCCAACTCCTCGCGAAAATCGCCACCAGGGTAATCTAAAATAATTAGTTTAAGAATATTTCAATTCGATATCAATTCATCATTTTGAATAATTTTGGAATTTATGGAGAAGTTTTTTTTTGAAGAAAAAAAT